GTTCTCTTCTATCCCTCCTAACTCTTGTGCCACATGTAGCTAGTGGCTGCCATATCGGATAATGTAGACAATTGTAAACCATTGAAAAGTTTTAATGGGGGTATGTAGTCAGCAGCTTTTCTTCTTCCATACCTGAAATAACACTTATTGAGCACAGAGACTATTTTGCAATTTCATATACATTTATTCTTTTATTTATTCACAACAAACTGTGTAGAAGGTGTTATCTCAATTTTATAGGTAAGAAATCAGAGACTCAAAGGTATTAAATTGTCCAGGGTCACACAACTAGTAAGTGGCACAAGAGTTAGGAGGGATAGAAGAGAACATATTAGAGAAGTGTTTACAAGGTAAAATCTAGAAGTAATTGGTAATTGATTTGATGTGGAAGGCAAGAGGGAGAAAAGAATCAAGGATGATGCTCAGGTTTCTGGTTTGGGTGTCGGAGAATGGATGGCAGTATCAGCAAGTGTACAGATAAAAACATTTTGAAGGGCAGATTATGAGTTTATTTTTACAGTGTTTAATTTGAGGCTGCAGTTATTAACACAAGCCTGAAGCTTAGGGAATGGTCTGGACTGGAGTTACAAGTTTGGGGGTCATCAAAGATCACCCAGGAAAAATATACAGAGCATGGACAATTAGGGAATGCAGCACAGGACCCAAGAAAGAGTACTATGGTAGGTGTGAGGACTGGGCAAATGTGCAGTCACAATAGCCAAGAGAAAAAGAGAACGTCAAGTAAAAGGCAGTGCACAGCAGTGGGATGCAGCTCCTAATTCCAGTAAGAAAATGGAAAATGTTCAGTATCTGCACAATTAGAAGATCTTTGGTTTGTGAGAATTGTTTGTAGTGATGGGGGCAGAAGCCAGGTTGTTGGAATGAATGAGGCATGTGGAGAGAGAAAATGAGTAAAGAATAGTCTTTGCAAAAATTAAAGTGAGGGGCCAACCCCGTGGCTCACTCGGAGAGTGCGGCACTGGGAGCGCAACGGCACTGGGAGCGCAGTGGCGCTCCCGCCGCAGGTTCGGATCCTATATAGGGATGGCCGGTGCGCTCACTGGCTGAGCAGTGCAGGCAACAACAAGCCAAGGGTTGTGATCCCCTTACCGGTCACAAAAAAAAAAAAAAAAAAGAAAAAAGAAAAAAAAACATTAAAGTGAGGTGGGTAGGAAAGGGCTCAGGTCGTAGCTGATTTGATTTATTAACCTATTATATATGGGAGGGAGGAATGCGTAACAGGCCAAATAGCGATGACAGTGTATATTGTTGAGTATAATAATAATTCTGATTTGAGCATCATATATTACATACAACTATTGATATTCAACGCTGATGTACAGTCAACTAAGTTACAATAAAACAGAACAAAATAAAACCCTATTATATAGGATAATAGGGTAGTATGCAAAGATTGTAGAACGTGAAACCTGTTGAAAGATCTAAGGTCTAATTCTGAGTATCTTAGGTTGGGAAGGGTGCTTGTCATAGAGTTTTACACTTGTTTAATACAGAGAAGTCTGTTATAATCTGTGGAAAACTGATTTAGTAATATAGCATGTATTTTATATTGATTATTGGATTTTTTTAAATTGCAAAATAATTAAATATTTATTGGAATTAAATTAACAGTACAGAGATGATAAAGAAAAAGATAATCTAGTCTCACTCTCCAAGATAAGCAGTGTAAACCATTTAAATTAATCCTCTTTGTTCTGTACTCATAGAGATGCATTTTGTGTCTCCAGAGACTCAGGCTGTTTTGTTATTTCTTTTCATAGGACTTTTCCCATGCTAAACAGCTGTTTGCTGCTTGTTTGGAGTTGGTAACAGAGTTCTCACCAAAACTTCGTCAGGTCATGCTGAATGAGATGTTGCTTTTGGATATTCATACACATGAAGCTGGAACGGGGCAATCAGGAGAGAGACCTCCTTCTGACCTTATTAGTAGGGTGCGAGGATACCTGGAAATGAGGCTTCCTGGTAAGACTGTTTCACAGGGACAAATTTCAGAAATTCAGTACTCAAATAATTGTAGGGGAAAATCTAGAAGACTTGACTTTTTACCATCTATAAAAAAGTTATTTATCTTCTAAAATAGAATTTGGGTTTGGAGTTCACTTAAAAACATTGGGGAAAATAGAGGAAACTGTTCATTTCCTAGGATTTCCATTACACAGTACCACAAACTGGGTGTCTTAAAACAGCAGCACTTTATTCTGTCACAGTTTGGAGGCTAAATGTCTGAAATCAAGGTTTTTGCAGGGCCATGTTCCCTCTGAAGGATCTGGGAACAATCCTTTCTTGCCTCTGGTGGCTCCTGGCAATCTTTGGCATTCCTTGGCTTGTAGCTGCATCACTTAAGCCTTTGCCTCTGTCTTCTTGTGTCATTCTTCCTTATATATATCTTGTCTTCTTATAAGGACACCAATCATTGGATTTAGGTCTGCCCTAATTTAGTATGCCCTCACTTAACTAATTATATCTGCAAAGACCCTATTTCCAAATAAGGTTACATCTGAGGTTCCAGGTGGACATTAATTTTGGGGGGATGCTGTTTAACACACTACAAAAGCTATGTTGCGATTTTAAGATTCCTATTAAAAGAATCAAAATGTCATTGAGTGTACAGGTTGTATTTCCTCATTACTGCCGTAAAATTCCCTGAAACTGATTGGCAATGATCCAGGAATTCACTTGTGGCTTTCTTAAGAACAGACTTTGGGTGNTGCTATGTTTAAAATGAGAAGGGCCCAGCATCCTGCTGTAGGGAAAAATAATAAAACAAATAAATAAAATGAGAAGGAAAGGTTAGGTTCTTTCAAACAGGAGGAACAAGAAATGGATTTTTCCCCCACAGGCACGATTCCTGTCTTTGACTTTGGCTACTCCTCAGTTATGGACTGAGTTACCCAAGTTCAGCATAGATTCCTGAATGTGATGCTCTTATAGTTCTGTACTTCAGTGCCACCGTGAGAGTCATGGTGGGGAGGCATGCTCTCTCCTTGGGTCAAGATTAGCGGGTGGGGGCTGGCTGGTTAGCTCAGTTGGTTAGAGTGCCACCTTTTAACACCAAGGTCAAGGGTTCGGATCCCTGTCCCGGCCACTTGCCAAAAACCAAAACAAACAAAATCATTTCCAAAAAAAAAAAAAAAAATTAGCGGGTGGGAGGAGTGTCATCTGCCACCTTCACCCCACTCCCTTTTTTAGGAAAAATGCTGCTCTCTAGTTGTATAAGGCCAATTTTGAATACATGCCCTCTATAGAATGCAGAAAGAGAAGCACTCTTTTATGTGGGTTGAGCTGGCTTTATTTATTTATTTAATTTTTTTTCCCCCTTTTTGTCTTTTTTACTGACCGGTAACGGGATTGCAACCCTTGGTGTTGCGCCTGCAGCGCGCTCAGCCAGTGAGCGGGAACCGGTCTCCATATGGGATCCGAACCCTCAGTGGGAGCGCTGCCGTGCTCCCAAGCGGTGCACTCTCCAGTGCGCCACCGGTCCGGCCCTGAGCTGGCTTTATTATCAGGAACAAGAAGTGATCTTAACTGACAACAGATCCAACTTTCAGTTATAATAGAAATAATGGCTACAATTTAATTATTCTAAGACCAGTCATGTCTTTTGGGAGAGACCCCCAACTTTACATACCTTTGTAGCAAAGCATGTTGGCTTTCTGTTCAGACATATGTCCTTGTTATGT